ACTATTTTGAAAAGCACTTGTTGCATCAAACATGACTTGATGCCAACCATAAGGATTCACCTACATATTTTGGAATTGACACAAAAGAAATAAAATATAGACAAGTATAAATTGATGGTGATAACCTATGATAACTCAAAACAATATAGTGAAGAGAGGAATTATGGATAAAACATATACCTTTATAGAGGACAATGAGAAGATCAACATCAGTTGTTGAAGTCAAATGAGATGAAAAGGTTGACACAAGAAGAGAGTTATCTAATGAACGATAGAGATTTTGACAATCACTATACCTTGAAGAGGTGATGGAGTGGGGGATCAATAGATACATTATACATAATTGGAAGGTCACAAAAAATAGGGATAATGGCTTGATAAGATGAAACAAGGTAGTAGGAGGATTAAATTTAAAGTGGAGGAAAGACTCAATGAAGGTGACATCAGTTGAAATGAAATAGCAGTTAAGAGAAGGAAAGAAACACCCATTTTGTGATATGGTGCATCCTAAAAAGACACATTTGTGCTACTTAGTGGATAATTTATCAAGAATAGAACTATAGTTGTGAGCAAAACATGTGGACCCAAATACTTAAGGATGAAGTTCATGAAGAAATAAAATAGAACGTGGAATTTTATTATATAAATCCAAAAATGACATGCGATTAATGAAATAACATGCACTAAGGACAACATTGTTAGGATCGAGCGCTTACCACTAGGCCAAAAGCTATAGCCATTAGTCAGAGCGCAACTCTTTTTACTTAAGAGTAACAGCCCAAGCGCCACGATTCGATTGTGACTCGGCCCACCCGGCCTCTGCCACAGAACAATTGATGCTACCTGCAACAATCTCTCCCTCAGCAATTGTCCTACGAGGAATCCCACTTGGATTGTGACTTGGCCCATCTAGCCTACGCCACCGATTGTGACTTGGCCCACCTGGCCTGCGCCACGGGACAATTGTGCAACCTGCAACAATCTCCCCCTTAACTATTGCTCAACAGGAATTGAACTCGTGACCTTGGCTCTGATACCATTTGTTAGGATCGAGCGCTTACCACTAGGCTATAGCTTTTGGCCTAGTGGTAAGCGCTCGATCCTAACAAGCATCACCCTAAATCGTTTAGGAAACTCATCATGGATTAAACTTATTTGAGTTATTTCAATAAGATGTTTATTTTTGCGTGCAACCACCCTATTTTGTTGAGATGTATATGCATATGAGGTTTGATAAAAAAATACCATGAGAAGCTATACAATTTTGAAAATAATGAGAAAGATACTCACATGCATTATCATTACACAAGGTTTGAATAAAAACTCAAAATTGATTTGTAAAAGAATTGAAATATGAAGAATAACTCAAAACAATTTTTCATTAACAATAATCAAGTACATCTTGAATAATCATCAATAAAAGTGATAAAATACTGAAATCCTAAATTTGACTTAATATGATTTGGTCCCCAAATGTTATAATGAATTAAGACAAAAGGAGACAAAGCATGTTGTGAGAAACTTTTAGGGAAAGAACTACGATTGTGCTTTCCAAATTGACATAACTCACACGACAAACTTGGAACAAGTACTTGTGTCTTGGCAAGACTAGGATGACCCAACTGAGCATGAATGTGAGAGGGAGAATCCATGGCCGAACCAACATGTGCAGACGTCCATAGATGATAATGACCATGAGACTTACATCATGTACCAATCATTTGTCCTGAACTTCGACGCTGGATACACATAAAATATTTATTAAAGAAGATAAAACAATCAAGGGAACATATGAGACGACTAATGGATAATAAATTAAATGGAGACTAAGAGACATAAAAGACATTATCGATAGATAGAAAAGGAAGATGATTAGTACCAATACCATGTGAGGAAGCCCTAGATTCATTAGCCATGGTAACGAAAGGTAAATAACCCGAGGTATATAGAGAAGAGACATAAGGATTTATTACCGGTGATGTGATCTATGACACATCTATAACCCAAGGGGCAAGAGAGTTGGACTGTGTGAGACCAACAAATGATGTACCTGGTGTGCAATAGAAGTAGTGAAACTAGTTTTCTGACGATTCTCATACCCATAGGACGGTACGACCATGCAATGCCGCATCCACACGAGTCTTGATCTTGGACAATGATTCTATGTGATTCCTAAAAATTGTAATAGGATGACACACAAACTCAAACGGAAAGAAGATTATATATTCATGTGACCTTATGTTTCAAATCACAATTTTGGCAACATGCATGTATTGAGATCAAGTTGAGGTGTATATCATGAGTGTGTATGATATTCTTCAAATATAACTTGCAACCAATATTATTCTCTAAAAAAATATTTCCAATGTCAACAACCTTACTTATCCCTTAATATTTCATCTTTTCACATGCCCAAAATCTCTAGTAGTGTAAGATGAGAAATATTATTGGTGTGGTATAACATGAAGTGAGATGATAGAATTAACAACCTATTCATACTCTTAGAAAGTGCGATTAATAAATTTACCATCATAAATAATAAAAACTTAACCATTAGATGCAATTGTTGTATATTTATTTTCTCTGTTTTTATTATTATGATTATCTTTACCCCTTGATCTTATGTCCCAATTTGCAATGAAAACATGTGATGTATTTTTTTTTAGTATGGATTTTCCTTTTAACTTGTTACGTTTACTAAATCTTTGTGAATTTTTATATTGATTTCTTCCCCTTGATTCCATAAACTTACTTTATTTTGAGTCAAGAAGCTAACCTTACTACTAGGGATGGTAAAACGGGCTAGTTCGTCCCGTTTTGGTCCGCCCCGCCTTTGGCGCCAAAAGCGGGGCGGGTTGACTCGTTATAGTCATGAAAAGTTGTAGACCTTGGCCCGCCCCGCCAAGGGCAGGTTAGCTGGTTAGCGGGCTAACCCGCCATAATTTAGAAAAAAAAATTATTTTTTAAAAATAAGATTATTATTTGTTTGTCAATAATTTAATATATATATATTATTTCAATTTAATAATATAAATCAATACATTGTTTTAAGAAATTATAATTTAGAATAATAATAAAATTTACATAATAATAAATAATAACAAATTAATATATATATATATATATAAATAACGTTAAAACTTATATTTTTTATATTGAAAAATTCAAATACCTATATCTTTTTTATTTGATAAAACTTCACATTATTCTTGGTTGAGTAATTTTTACACCTTTAATTCAAGTCATAGGGATAAAAATAATTAGTGCTTAGGATGAACAAGGAGAACAGGAGAGAGAATGTTGTGTTTCAAGTAAGGAGAATATTTTTTGTGAAAGTAAAACTTTTTTAATTCTCTTTTTAAAATTTTAACTTTATATATTATCTTTATAATTAATTTTATTACAATAAAAAATTATTTTTTTATTAATTAGGCGGGCCGCGGGCTGGCCCACCCCGTCCCCATGGGCTTGGCGGGCGGACCAAAGCGGGCTAGTGGGTCTGAAAATACCAGTCTGCCGGGTCCGGCCCGTTTTGCCATCCCTACTTACTACTTTCCTTCCTCCCAGTTTCTTCATTTAAAGGAACATCCCTGAATATATCAAAAATCAAATTTTTCATTAAGAGAAAAGTTGTTTAGAGCACAAACAAAAACTCCTAATTTGATCTTTTATACCATTTCTTGGAAAAGATCACAAAAATACAAGAAAAAAAAATCTCTTCTCTAGTATAAATGACAATAAGCTCTGAAAAATATAAAACAATAACAAAAATTATGAGACGTACCAAACTAAAAAAATAAGAAATCAGTTGACACCAAATTTTTTAACGTGGAAAAACCTTCAATATGGAGAAAAAACCTACAAGACTTTTTAAAAACTTTCACTAATAACAATTAATGATAACAATTAATGAGTACACCATAAGTTTTCTTGAAGCCTCCAAGAACTAACACCACACTTTCTATTTACCAATAAGGTGGATAATAGTACAAGATAACCCTAATAAGTATATAATAAGATAAAATAAGAGAGCCAAAATAGGTAGAGTAATTGATACAAACAAATTCTTTTCTAAACTAACTTTTCATCTTAAATTTGTCCAAAGTCAAGTTACATGTCCTTCTTTTTCTCTCAAGGTGACTTATTTCTTTTCTCATTGGAGACACAATTTTTCTATTATATTCTTCCATAAAACTCACTTTTGTAAATAAAGATGCATGATATTACAAAACATAAAAAAACACCTTTATTCTTTATTTCTTTTACTACTTAATCAACCTGGACTTAATAGATTGATGATTCACCTAACTTATTTTTATGTTACAATGCATATGAGAACTAAAATAACAAAGTTTTGTTTTCTTTTTATGTTGCAGATTGTGTACCTCTTTCCTTTATTCCAACTAGTACTTGGTATTGTAAATATTGTCAGAATTTATTTCAAAAGAACAAATATGCTAAGCGTAATGAAAATACTCTGATAGTTGGAAGTAATGAAAATGATCCCTTAGAACAGATGAATCAGAGATGCATTCGTATTGTAAAAGAGTTTGAACTTGGTGGATGTGCATTGTGCAGGTAATATCTTTTGTTGTTTTTAGTGAGATATTATATTGTGAGTACATACATACAAATAATATAACAAACATTTTCATCCCCTAGGATCTTTTGTTCTTGATCCACATTTTAAAAAAAGTGTGGTATAATAAATATTTGGTTTCATGGCTCACCTGTGTTTTTCTTTACTTCGCCACAAGTTTTCTTACATTAATCTTTCATATATTTCATTTGATATTCCAGAGGCCAAGATTTCAGCAAAACCTTTGGTCCCCGAACAGTTATTATTTGTGATCAGGTGTTGTTTAAAGTGAAACATTAGTTTGTCTTACCAAATGCACAATATTTATTATATTATATTTTTTTAAAATAAAATTACTAATTAATGTGTGTATTTGTAGTGTGAAAAAGAGTTTCATATTGGGTGTTTGAAGGATCATAACATGCAGAACCTCCAGGTGTCATATATTTGTTTTCTCCCCTAATTCATATATTTTAATCATCAATACAATGTAATTGTTAACAAGTGTTATTTTCCAGGAATTACCTGAAGGGAATTGGTTTTGCTCTTTAGATTGTAACAACATTAATACTACTTTGGTGAATTTGGTGGCTCGTGGAGGAGAGAATCTTCCAAATTCCCTCATGAATATGATTAAAAATAAATATAATGACAAAGGTTTAGAATTTGACCCTGAACTTGATATAAAATGGAGGATTCTAAACTGTAAAGTGGATAATTCCAAGGATAGTAGGCTATTGCTTTCAAAAGTTGTTGCTCTTTTCCATGTAAGTGTGTATTATGGTTTATGCATGATTTAGTCATTACAATGACATGAGTGATTTAGTTAAAATTTGATTTATATTGTGTAGGAGCGATTTGATCCAATAGTTCATGCTACAAGTGGTATTGATTACATTCCAACAATGCTTTTTGGGTAAGTAGAGTTGTCTCGTATTATTGACTTTCTTTTATGATTTTCTAAATATATGATAGAATTAACTTTTTGGTGTTTGAAATCTATAGAAGGAACATCATGGGTGAAGATTTTAGTGGAATGTATTGTGTGTTACTCACTGTTAAGTAAGTGAAATGTTTTTTTTTTTTTAAATTGTTTTATCATTCATTTGTTTGAAAGCATTCATGAATGTTTTGTGTGTTTAATGTTTTTTTTGCAGTCAAGTAGTTGTGTCTGCTGGAATATTTCGTGTGTTTGGGTCAGAAATGGCAGAACTTCCTCTAGTGGCAACTGTTACTGATTTTCAAGGACAGGTTGTTTAATATATTTGAATGACTATTAGAAGTCAAATAGGATTTTCTGAAATATTTTGATTAAAAGTGATATAATTTTCTTTCAGGGTTACTTCCAATCCTTATTTTCTTGTTTAGAGAACTTGCTTGGATCATTAAAAGTAAAACAATTTGTTCTACCTGCTACTGAAGAGGCTGAATCAATATGGACTAGTAAATTTGAGTTTACAAAACTTAATAAAAATGAGGTTTGTAATGTTTATAGTTTTTTGTTTTGAGTTTCATAGTTAATTACTTGTACTTAGATCATTATTTCTCACTATTGCAGGTCAACAATTATTGGAAATATTACCGCATGATGATATTTCAAGGGACTTCATTGTTACATAAGCAAATTTCTACCATTTGAAATTTGTTTTACTTAAAATATGTTAAATTTGGAGACCTCATTTGCAAATGTGTTTGTTGTATGTGTAACATCAGACATCTAACTATGTATCATCAATATTTGGTGTACTAAACAACATGTAGTACAAGAATGAAACTACAAGTTTAAATATGAACATGATAAAAATTAAGACATTAGGTTAAATTTTTAAGAAAAACAAAAATTTTTGTGTTGAATTTGTTTATCACTTTTAATAGTAATTTTTATCATGTTTTAGTATGAATTGGTTAAGAATGTTTGTATTTATTTATTATATATGAAAGTAAATATTTAACAGATTAAATAACAATAAAATATATATTTATTTAACGAGCATTGGATTTTTTTAATAATTATAAAATTGATTTTCATGTGATTTGCAAACATTAAAAATCTAAATAATATAATTAAACTAAAAATTTATACAAATAATAAATTAAATATAGTTTTAATCATAACTTGATCCAACATGTTTTGTTTATAACACATGGTATTTATATTTTTATTTATGTTAAATATTTGATTTTTTTACAACAATTTATAAATTTAATATAGTTTCATCTTTTAATATTTTATTGAATAAAAATTATAATAACCTTTTACAACTTGATTCTTTAAATAATAATAATAATTATTATTATTATTATTTCTTTTAAGATAATTTAATTGAATTTTCAATTCAGTTTAAATATATATTACGTATGTATATACAGACCATTACTGCTATCACGGATTATTTTATAATTTAAATATGTTTCTAGATTCTTATTTTTAAATATTTTTATTTTTTAAATAAAGTTGTTAATATTAATTCATTAATTAAAAATATTAATTATAATGTATTTTATAATACTAACAAGATCTTGTTAGTAATACAGTAACATCCATTGGAATGTAACTAATAATATTCACATTAATGAAAATAATAATATGAAATTCTATTTTCTAATATTTTCCTCTTAAATAGTTTTTTTAATTTCAAATAAATTTAATTTTAAATTAAGAATTTTAAGATTGATGGTATAGTCTTCTAAAAATAAGATACTCTTACTTCTCTAATTTTAAAAAAATTATTTTAAAAATTTTAAAGTTTACATTATCTAAAAATTTATTATTATAAATAATATTGTATATAATTTTACAAAAATAATTAATATCTATTTTATGTGTTTAACTTTTCTCTTTTTCCTTTCTTTTTCTTTTTTTTGTCTAAAGAATTGAGAGTTTACTAGTTTAAGGTATAAAAATAGTGAAGTGGGATGAATTATAAATATTTTAGTAAATGATATTTACAATTTCATAATTTAAATTTTATTTTATAAGAATTAATATATCTTTCAAATATATATCATTTTTGTGTAGTTTTATTTTTTAAGATAAAATTGTTATTTTTTATATGCATTATTATAAATGATATTTTCATTTATCACTGTTTTTATAATAATGATTAATGCATACATCTTTACAAAAAAATAAACAAAATATTTTTTATCAATTATTAATGCATAAATTTTCAAAAATAATAAAATATTTTCTCTTTATGTGAATAATAATACAAAAATAATCCTAAAGTAATTCTTTGTAAAAAAAATTATTCTTTAAAACTAACTTTTCTGCACAAATTTGTACTAAAATGCACAGTTTGATTTATTTTCTCTCCTGTAGAATATCTATTTTTTTCAAAAGTTATACAATTTTTTTAATTTTTTTAAATACTTATGTAAATCAAGATACATCTTATAATTTGTATTTTTATTTATGTTAAATATATATTTATAAAAAATAAATTTATTTTAAAATTTTAATGATATATATTGAATTTTAAATGATATATATATATATATATATATATATTCTTTTTTTTTGAAGCAGATTTAATACAAATCTTTCTATTATTCTTTAAAGTTAAATATAAAGTATATAATTAAAATTTACAAAAAATATCTAATCTGAAATGTTTTAAATTAGATATCCAATCAAATAAATACAAAATTTAAAAATAATGGATTGAATGATAATTAATATTGCAACATGAATTTAGATGATAATATTTGAAAAAATAATTAAGAATAATATTTTTCTTAACATCTTATTAAAGTTTAAATAAAGTTATATCAATAATAATGTAACATTTTGCTATTAAACAAGAGTATATATTCTTATAAAATGGACCTAACTTTACTTCATTATGTTATTTTATATTTGTAATAATATTTTTTTATGTATATTACTCTTAAAACAACTTAGTGGTCACAAATCTATTAAAATAAACAACACAAAGTTATTACAGTAAAAATATATAATTTGTGTACTGAAACCATTATGAAAATTAATATCATTTTATAGATTTTTAGTAGAGAGTACATTATTTATTATTTTTTAGGATAATAAAATTAATAAATATAATTAATATTATTAATTAATAAAGAGATTTTTTAACTATTTTATTTATATATATTTTGTATGTATATATTTTTACATGTTATTTTTTAACCAGAGAATTTTATCTTTTATCAATATAATTTTTTAAAATAATTTTACAGTGTTATTTTTTATTTAAAAAAATATTAATTATATTAATTTAAAAGAAACAATGAACATGGTCTTTTTCCTAGTCATAATTAATTTTAAATAAATATTTTTTTTAATAAAAATAAATCTTATATGATAATAAAAAATCATTTATTTTATATTTAAATAAAGTTACTCATCAATGTTATTTTAAATTTAATTATCCAGCTATTAACAGAATTTTATTTGATTAGCCAAAGTTTATATATATTTTTTGTTTATTCACTCGTTTTAGTGGGTAGAGAATTCCATTGAGGAGCGGGAAAATCTAAAATTTGAAAAGTTAAAAATCAATCCGTTATTATTGCTTTACTGGTTAGCCGTTATTATTTTTCTAGAATATATTAAAATAAATAAATAAAAAATTCCAATATTTAAGTATAAAAATGAATTGACAATTTCATCCTTCATTCTGAACCATTTATTCATATTTCTTTCCTTCTGGTTCTCTCACTCTCAATCTTCTTTTCTCAGTTGGGTTTACTCACTCTTTTATTCTTTTCTCTTCCTTTCACTTGTAAATTTTTCAGTACTGGGTTTGATTGATTTTTTTTATCGGAAATTTTTGTTTCACCTCTTATCAGATTTCATCGAGTAAAGTCACGAACCCTAGTTTTCGAAGATGGGTCAGATCCAGTATTCGGAGAAGTACTTCGATGATACCTATGAATATAGGTATGCTTTTGATTCTATTTCTTTTATTTTTCTCTCTTATTACTTTGATTTTATTGATTTTTGTATTAATAAGAGTTTTGTTTTTCAGACATGTGGTTCTGCCTCCTGAAGTCGCCAAACTGCTTCCCAAGAATCGGCTTCTCTCCGATGTACGGGAATGTTTTTTTTTTTTTTTCTTGAATTGTTTGAGTGTGTTTGTATTTGATTGTGATTTTTTCTTTTTTAAAAAGATATTGGATTATGTATAAAATCTATAATCGAAAAGTCATGAAAATTCGATCTCCTATTGAGAATTCTTTGTGACTATTAATTGATAATAAACAAACATTTGTGCTTAGTTTTTGTTCCAATTTTGTCAACTGTTAAAGGTTGAGTTCTAATGATTTGTTGAGTTCTAATGATTTTCACTGTTAATGCTTTGTGACTATCCAAGGATCATTATGACTATTTTAAGAACAATTGTTAGAGAATAAAATAACATAATTTTGCAATTATTTTATATGGATGTGGTTAATGTAAGGCATTTGTTGCTGTTCTGTGGCATGTCATCTGATGAAAGTTGGCTTGGCGTCATTTTTAAGTATTTAGGGTTTTCTTGTGCAATTTTTTGAGTGTAGGTGCTATCTTTGTTTTGCTTTTATTTTATATAGCCTTAAGTTTTGGGTTTTGGTTTTATGTTACAGAATGAGTGGCGTGCAATTGGGGTTCAGCAGAGCCGTGGTTGGGTTCATTATGCCATTCATCGCCCTGAGCCACACATAATGCTTTTCAGGAGGCCTTTGAATTATCAGCAGCAGCAGGAAAACCAGGCCCAGCAAAACATGCTTGTCAAATGAACACTTTCTATGCAAATCTGAGAGTGGGATACAGTGTTCTTATATAGGTTTTTATTTTGTTGGAATATGAATGATATTTTGAAGACCTAGCTGATGGAATTCTCTTGTGGAGAATTTTAACGTGGTTTCAATTTTTATTTCAATGTGTTGTGGACATGATGTTTCTTGGATTTATGCTGGTGTACCTCTCGTGTACGCTAAAGCTTGGTGGATTTATAATAGTAATTTCAGTTGCATTCTGCTATAATTTCATGATTCTGTAATTTGTGTTTTTCTGGTGACCACTACAGCCTCTTTGCACCGCGATGTTTTTAATGGACATGAGAAATGTATTTAGTAGTAAGTAAATGATAATATTTTTGCTGGTATATGAACCAGAGTAAGTACTTTTTGTTTATGCGCACGGCTTCATGAAGCGACACTGTGCAATGACATCAATTTGGATGATAGTAGTCTACAGAAATGGTGGGTTCACCTGCAAAATCGTTGTTCAGCTTAGCAGTAAATACCATTAAGATTGATGATGCAGATTTTGAAATGTTTGATTTTAGTTATAAGGTTTAAATGCTTGATCAATTCCATGAAACATTGCTCTGAATTCGTTTGAATATTTGGTTGACCTGGTTTACTACTCCTTTGTGCCGTTATGAACCTATGAGGCCATTTTTGCTGGTTTTATTTAATGTTTCAAAAATCTTATCTTTCCCTAACAAACATTTCATATATGGTTATAAAAATGATTAGGAAACCCAAAACTAAAATTTGAGTCACTCGTATACCATATTGTGCGGCAGAAGAGGTATATTCTGTGAGTCTTTTGTTTTTTTCACTGCAGAGTTAATTTGGATTATGCTGTGTCATGTCTGTGTTCTTATTTTGCTCTCATAAAAAGAGGTAACACCTCACTAAATATTAATTTATCTTACATTTGTTGATGATTAATTATCGTTGTATGAATTACTGAATTCACCAAATGAATGAAAGCAAGCAAGGTGGAATGAATTGTACTCTCATGCGATGAAATGTATTCCTGTAATATTTCTTTTTCTCTGGTTATCGTTTCATACTAAAATTGAACTCCTTACGTATTATTTCATATTCAAAAGATAAATAACTCAAGAAAAAATAATTCTATTGCTTTAAATTGGTTCTGCTAGATTTAAAGTTTATAATGGAGTCGTTGTAATTTTTGAAAAATAGGTTCTTAAATGGCTTTTAAGTAAATTGGAAGATCTATTTGATACTTAGTTTGAATTGGGTAGCATTTTTCCAACTTAAATTGATCTTTCTTTTCATAAAAGGGAAGTTCAAGATCTAGCAAATATTTGAGAAATGAGTGTCAAGATAGAGTTAATCCAATGAATTTAAAATGTATAATAAATGGATCAGATTATAAAATAAATAAATAAATAAAATTGTGACATAAATTAAATTATATATATTTTATTTACATAAATTAAAAATTACTGATACGTAGACTTTAGAATATTAATTATTTTTTAAATAAATAATAATATATATATATATATATATATATATATATATTATAAATTAATTTGATAAACAAAGTAAAATGTTAAAACGAATATGTAATAATACTTATTTTTAAATTTAATGATTAAAATTAATTACTATTTTAAATTAATAAATTATTAAAAAAATATGAGAATAATAAAAAATAAACTTTTATTTTTTATTTTAAGATTTGAATCAATTCATTCTCTTATATTTTATATATTAAATCATTATATTTATTTAAATATAATTTTAATTAATTATTTTTTATATTAACATGTAAATATATATATTTTTTAGTTTTCAATTAAAACAAATTAACTTATTGGCCTAATATAAGTGAGATTAGGTCGAAACTATCAATTTTCTTTCACACTCATAATTTTAAAGATAAAAATAATATTCAAGTTTTATAATTACAAAACTCTAAATCGAGAAGGGTTAAAGAGAGGCGAAAATAAAGGTGAGATAAATGTTCATTTACTACATTTTTTATAATGAGCAGTCACTTTTGTTACGAAACAAAAGAACATGTACAAATGGTAAACCCAGATGAACATGCTTTTTTTTTATTATTATAAATAATTCTTAATTAAAAATAAAAATATAAAATAAAACTCGACTAAAATCAACAGCTTCATTAGTTTAACGAAACAAGTTTCGTATCAATAGACAATTTCTTTTATTAAAGTAGGTGGTGAAATGAGCAATAATGGGAGTGAAAATAGTAGATATCTGTTTGGGCCTGAAGAGGTCTATACTCATTTGAACCGTCGGCCAGAAAAAAGAAGGAATTCGCTCGTCTTCATTCTTCACCGAAACATTCACTGGAATTTGAAACCCTGACCCAGAAAAAAATTATAAAAAAACACTGCTCGGGAATTAGCGTTCGCAAGTTTCGATTTGGGTGCATTGCTACAAAGTTGTGGACAAAGAAAAAGATTATAGTCAGTTCCGAGGTATTCATTTATCTGATTAATCCTTGAATATTCTAATTTGGATCAAATGTCTCCACTACTTGATTTGTCCTTCGAATTTTTCTAGGGTTTGCCATTGCAATTTGGTATCAGATTGATCGATGGCCCGAGCGCGCAATCTAATTGTTGCTTCGGGTTTAGTTGCTTTCGCTGCAGCAGGCATGTCTTTTCCCTTCTACATGGCGTAAGTTTACTCAATTCATTATTTTTCGATCACATTACATCCTCATTACGTATTAATTTGTCATTTGTTAGAGTTTATTTTTCATATACCGTGATTTTACACTGTCAATAAGTAACCAATTCGTAAAACTCTTTCATTATAATTTCTCTATATTTTTTTATTTTTTTAACTTGTTCATAATCTAATTTAATAGAAGAGGATATTTTTTTATTCATCAGTATTTATAGAGAAGTAAGTCCCGTGTCTGATGATTTTTTATTGAATTATTGTGTAAAAAATATTATTATTACTCAGTTCATCAAGGAAGCCTGTTATTGATTCAACAAAGCCCCTTCCACCACAGGCAACTTTTCGAGGACCTTACATTAACACAGGCTCGCGTGATGTTGGTCCTGATGTTGGTCTCCAGAAGAAATGAAACAAGTTGTGTTAGATGATCAAGATCATATTCATATATCTATATGCTCATTGTTTGAGAGAAAGTGTCTCAGAGAAATTTTCTGATCTCAGTTTGGTGGATTGTGACTCTGAAGCACAATCATGGAATTGAGAATGTTTGGGAATGGGAATTCTTTTCTTGAAGAGGTCACTCAAACTGTATGTATTAGCGATTTTGATAAAAAGCTGAATGATGTTATTTATCATGTCACTTGTGTCCATTTCTTCTGTTTCCAAAATGACGTATGTATTGCATGCTTTCGACCTCAATAACAATAACAGTTTTGTTTCACTAGGTTTGCTCGGTTACATGTATTACATTACAGGATACCATTTAGTTCAGTTAAGACCAAACGAGATTCCTCTTAACCCCTTATTTCTTAGACTCTCCCTTTTTCATAGGACTAAAAAGACCAAAGTTGATGGCTCTCCTCACTTGTATGTTTTCTTCTTTATCTTGTAACCATACAATTGCAAAAACTGATGGACACTGATGCAAATGCCTATTGAATGTTATTTTAGCTTCCTCCGGTGTGAATTCTAACAAACTAGTAGGTGCTGCTAATTACAGTTTTGTACTTGTCTTGATGGAAGATTGGTATAAATGCTTGCATTGCTGTGTGTACATTAAAACTGTATCCAGGCGACTGACTGCAGTTTTATGTTTATGGCAAGTTTGTTTCAGTTTATTTTTTTGGATAATATTTGTTTTTTTCTGAAAAGCTTTTTCAAGAAAATATATAGAATATGGTTAAATTACTTTTTGCATAAACTTCTATTTTGTATGCATTAAATCAAGTGTAAGTACTCACATTTTTGTTAGGCTTTCATAATCGCATAATTATTAAAATTGATTCATTAGCTCTAGATTTTGCCCCAAAACTTCCCAAATTCTCTGATGGTGTAAAACCACTTCCATATTTCTTTCTACTGAATCTCATCTCCACAGAAGAATATTCGTATGTCTTTGAAACAACCAAAGACAAATATTGTTGTGAAAGTCTCATAGAAAGAAGACAGAAGACACAAAAAAACTGAACAAAGTTGGACACCTAAGTATCAAACGGAATAATAAAGAATAAAAGGGGAGTGGACTTCCTCCCTTCTTTTGTTTTGGTTTGGTTTGATATCTGAAACATATACTTACATTTTTGGATAATTTTACTTTAAAAATAATTATTGTTTTTTAATTTCTTGAGAAATTTAAATAAAATCTGTTGTTCCCTAAATTAATCTTTAACCAACATGCTATTCACATTCTTTTGGTTGTTTGCATCTTTAATAAAGTTCCTGAAAGAACTCTAATCAAACATTTGTTCTGGCCACTCTGATCAGCAATCCTAGCAGCTCATTCACGAATTGATGTTGATGCATTCTATACATATTTCAGAACCACTTCCTTAACATTAGAAATCTTTTTACAAGAATTTAAATCAACGGAATCATATTTACTGCAACTTAAAAGATATTTAAGATCATACATAACTCATAAAAGAGATATTTAATATTTAAATATGGTATCTTATATATTTAATATTTAGTATCTTTTAAAATAAATATAATAAATAAGACCAAAACAAAAAATAATTTAATTCAAATAATTTCAAATTATATTCAATTACACAAATTTTAATTTAACCCGGTTAGAGAAAACATAAATTTTAAATCAATCCGATGATTATATAATGAATTACAAAATTCAAGATGATTGAATGAAATAATTTTTCTTGAAATCGACTGAATCCAATATTCTCCGGGGGTTACCATTTTCTATTTTCCTTTGTCTCTCAACTCCAGCAAAGTCCATTGTCTTCATCAAATTCGCACTTAGATTCAACTCTATTTTGAACATGTGTAACATGCTCGTGATTTTGAAGGCTTCAAAATTTGCTTGGATTAAAAATAGGTCTGAACCTGAAATAAAGTATGTACTGATATTTTCATCTGGACCTTTTTTTTATTACATATTTTACTTGCATGTAATTTTTTCAATATATCCAAAATAAACTTAAGCTTTGGTATTTTTTTAATATAGGAGATTTAACACTTTTTTTTTAGTTTGATTCTTTAACTTTTAAAAATAATAAAAAATATTTATAAAATTAGTTGAAAAAAAATATTTAATAATTCTACTTTAAAAGATAAAAAAATGGCATTAAAAATGATGAAAAGGCACAATAAAAACTTGAAAATTTAATTATTAATAAAAATATAAATATTATTAATGAAAAAACAAAAGCAAAAATACATATTTTTTTATAATTTTAACTTTTTAGTTTTTAAAAATAAAAATAAAAAGTAGTTTTGAAAATTATTTTAACAAGATAAATAAGAAACAGATTTTTAATTTTAAAAGACTACATAGTCGAAAGTCATTTAAAAAATATTATTTTCAAACTTGTGAAGTCTATGGTATTTTTCTTTCTTTATTTATATTTTTCTTCTATAAAAAGTTTTAATTTTTGTTTTTATTTAGTCTATTTGTTTCTTCTTTGACAAGCAAGGCATAAACCGAAACCAGTCCACACAATCATCCATTTCCCACTGTTTTCAGTGTCTTCTTTTTCTCTTCTCTTCTAAAAACAAGTATTCACACCACGTGGTAGATACTCGACACTATACCTATCTCCCTTTCTCTTCAAACATGTGGACATGCATCATTCCACCCAATCATTTCATTTCTTTTCCGCCGCTGATAAATAAAACAACCAAATTTCTTAAAATACTAATTACAGACAAACATCGACCAACACGAAATTTTCACACCCAGTACTTTTCCAAGATTGAAACTACAAACTTTTACTTTGTTTCCTAAATTTTACTTTAAACACTAGTAATTAATTAGTCAGTGAAAGTAAGGAAAAAAAAAAGTAGCAGAGAATGACACATCTGAACGATGTTTCGTCTGCAAACCGAAAGAGCAGAAGCAAGAAACATTTGAAACTTGCACGACTCAATAACCTTCGTGTTCGATTCTCATAAAAATACATCTCGCATGAACCTCTGTAGACAATTCCTCACACCTTAACGTCTCAGAAAAATTAACTACAAAACCATTGATGGCACTCCCACACTCCATCTCCGCGTTAGCAACCACACTCACGCTTTCCTCCCCAATAAGCAAACCCAACAACAAAGTGAATTCCTTTCCCTTATTCTCTAATCAGGGTACGCAATTTTTCACTAAACAAACGCGACCCAGAAGCGGAAGAGGCCTTTTGATTACCCCTGCACCCGTTGCTGCGCCACCTTCAACGGTTGAAACCGATCAATCGTTCCCTGAAACCGAAAAAGGGGAGACTGAGGAAGAGTTTAACGAGGAGAGCTCTTCCTCTAAGTTCTCTTGGAGGGATCACTGGTACCCTGTTTCTTTAATCGAGGATCTGAACCCTCTCTTGCCCACTCCGTTTCAGCTTCTGGGTCGTGAAATCGTGCTCTGGTACGACAAGTCCATTTCTCAATGGGTTGCTTTTGATGACAAATGCCCCCATCGTCTTGCCCCTTTATCTGTGAGTATATCTCAGTCTCTCTATCTCTCTCTCTCTCTCTCTCTCTCTCTCTCTCTATCTATCTATCTATCTATCTATCTATATATATATATATATATGTGTGTGTGTGTGTGTGCGTGTTTCTTTTTGGGTTTAAGCTCAGTTTAACGTATTTTATGTGTACTGGACATTTCGAAGGTGTAAAATTTGCAAATCAAGTCGTCTAATATGACTCGATAATGGATGACCAAATAAACTAAAGAAACTAGGATATCTGATACCACATTTGAATTTAATTTTGAATGTAAATCAACTAGAAAAGACGAACTTACGGAATGAGAATGACTTATTATATTCACTTTTTGGTTATATTAGTTTCATTTTAGTTTTTGTGATAAAAAAAACTGGGTGTTCGGTTTATGTAGGAAGGAAGGATTGATGAAGATGGGAAGTTGCAGTGTTCTTATCATGGATGGTCTTTTGATGGTTGTGGATCATGTGTTAAGATTCCTCAGGCTGCATCTGAAGGCCCAGAAGCACGTGCTGTTCGATCTCCTAAAGCATGTGCCACTAGGTTCCCGACTCTGGTGTCTCAGGGATTGCTCTTTGTTTGGCCTGATGAGAATGGTTGGGAGAGAGCAAATGCCTCCAAGCCTCCAATGTAATTTATTTAATTTAATATGTTCTTGTCTGAGTAGTAATATTAAATTAATTGTCACTGGGCCCCTTACAATGGATGTTGTCATGTGTTTATTATTTTATGTTGATTATGGAATGTTTTATTGACCTGTAAACTAAATTTGTTTGTTTAGGTTGCCCGATGACTATGTAAAACCGGAGTTTGCCACGGTCAACATTCAGCGTGATCTGTTCTATGGTTATGATACACTCATGGAGAATGTCTCTGATCCTTCTCACATTGATTTTGCTCATCACAAGGTACAAATCACACCTTTCAAATTGACATTTGGGTGCACCGTATTTTATTTTAATTTGGTGTTGCACATTGAAGATATTTTAATTTGATCCTGTTGTAAGCGAAGTTTGTTAAATATATTTAGTGATGCAGATGAAGTCCAAAAGTGTTATCAGGAAGAAACTTTTGGTTGGAGTTCTTTTATTATACATCTTCACTCACTGAAACCGCCACACGATTAGCATATTTTAAGAACTTTGACAAACCTTCTTCATGATGGGTGACTTTTCAATTGAATAGGAGGATATCATGAGCCTTCATTCTCATGTTTTGTTAGTTTACTAACATTCAATCTATTCTCTTGTGAGAATTTGGTTTAGCGTTTGTTTGAATTTAATTAGGAAGATACGTGCAAGTTACTGTATAGGAATTTAAACTTGACCAAATATTTCAAGTGTGGGATTAAATGATCATGTGTCTCTTAAGCTCATAGATGTGCTTTATCTATTTCTGGCCCCTGTAATTAACTTGTTTCCTTATCATATTTCTTCTTAATATGAATTTTTAATTTAGAGTCTTGTTCGATAAGCAGTTGCAAAAGTAAAAATTATTTGGTATTGATGTTATGATTATCCAAATCACTAACATAAATATGATCCAAACTCTACAGGTCACAGGAAGGAGAGACAGAGCCAAGCCTCTGCCATTCAAGATGGATTCTCGTGGTTCATGGGGCTTTTCTGGAGCTAATGAAGGGAACCCTAGGATCAGTGCCAAATTTGTTGCACCATGTTATTATATGAACAAGTAAGCCAATGGCTTTTGCGATGTTCTCATGTACATTATTTAGTTCGAGTATTGACACTGAAGAATTATTTATATGAATTCTGTTTGTTTTTGGCCAAAAGATATGTTCTCAACTTTAAGAGCATAATGTTAGAAATTATAATCAGTCATAGAATTCTTGTCTCGCATAGTTGTTGAACGAAATATGAAGTTTTAACCATCAAAGCTTCGTCACTATTTGGATCATTCAGAATCAGACAGTCAATTTGGAGGGTTTCCATAAATCTTCCCTTTTTTTTTCCTTTCTGAGTTTCTTTCCCTCTTCACCCTCTAAAGGACAATTGGGAAAGTAATATGGAAAATGTATAACTTTCTAATTATATCTTAAAACATCATCTGCTTTAAACATATCTTGCTAATTTAGCTGCTCCTTCACTATGTAGTATGTGAGGTTCTTGGAAAGGATAGTCAATTTGAGTAGGTATTTGATATTAAGAATGAATGCTGTTGTATATATGGCTTACTGTGTCCTTTTTAAGTGTTTATATGTATTTAAAGATGCATTCAAATAACTATTACTTTATCGATGTTCTCTTTTTCAATCATTGCTACTGAAGCTCAATACGCTTGGCATTATTATTGCAGGATTGAGATTGATACCAAACTCCCTGTAGTTGGTGACCAGAAATGGGTTGTATGGATATGTTCCTTCAATGTCCCAATGGCACCTGGTAAGACTCGCTCCATTGTTTGCAGTGCTAGAAACTTCTTCCAGTTCTCAGTGCCAGGGCCTGCCTGGTGGCAAGTAAGATTCTGTGGTCTGTGCTGTCATCTGTCTTCTATTTGATTAAAGCATACATGTTCCAGTCTGCTTATTTCAATGGTCTTTTACTGATTTATGTATAGAAAAAAATCGATCTGTCCTGACGATAATGGTGTAGTTAATTTTGTAGTCTCAATAAATGGGAAAGGGGGAAGAATTTGTCTATTTTGAAGTATACCTGAACTAAGAATTTTATTGAATGTTTCTTTGTCTGTTCTGCAAAAGGTTCAATATGTCTACTTTGAAGTACTCCTGAACTAAGAACACTATTGAAAATTTCTTTGTCTGTTCTGCAAAAGGTTCATGAGTGTCTGAAAAAACACCCTAAGCTTTCCTCTCAGAACCTACAATATTATTAAATGCTTTGAATACATTCGAAGTTGACATAAAATGTTGGTTTATTATGACAACTAAAACTCATCTCAATAATGTGGGAAAATTATAAAGGTAAACCAAGATTGAGTTTTTCTTACATTTGAAATTGTAGTAAAAGTGTTAGAATTTATGTGCCATTCCTGTTAGTAGAGAAAGAGAATAGAAGAATCGTTTGAATAATTTTATTCTTTCATGAGCAGTAGAAGATGAATGGGTTTATACAAATTTATGTTGACATGGAAACTGTTAGTGATAATAAGGGATTGAAAATTAATAAGTTTTGTGTGACCTCGTATATTTAAACATGAAAAGTAAGTAGAATTTAAAATCATGATGACATAGCATAACATTAGCTAGTATCATTCCTTTTATACAAAACCAATCGTATTTCTACATTTCTATAGTTCTTCTCTTCAGGTCAATTATCAGTATTTTCATATATTTATCATTATTTAGCTCGACGGAATTGAGTAATAATCTTTTCTGCATTCAATTTCGCAAATGGTTAATGTAATGGGATCTCACTGTTGGCTTTACACATGTCTCAGGTCGTTCCTAGATGGTATGAGCATTGGACTTCGAACAAGGTATATGATGGAGACATGATAGTCCTTCAAGGCCAAGAGAAAATCTTCCTTTCACAAACCAAGGAAGGAGGTGACATTAACAAACAGTACACCAACATCACCTTCACACCAACACAGGCAGATCGCTTTGTCTTGGCATTTCGAAACTGGCTGAGGCGACATGGCAATGGCCAACCAGAATGGTTTGGCAACAGCAGCGACCAGCCATTGCCATCAACTATTTTATCCAAACGTCAGGTACAACAAACATGATCCAAGATTTTCAGTTTGAACAATGAGAAATCTTAACAACACACTCCAATTTATCAAATAAAATTCAGGAAACCTACAAAATCAGGAATAAGAGCTGCATTTGATAAATTGTGCACGGATTTTGATTCGATTATAAAGACCGTGTTGTAGTAAGTTCTCTACTAATCCCACAAACTAAATGAAACATTTTACTTTTGGTTTTGTAGATGTTGGATAGATTTGAACAGCATACTCTCAAGTGTTCATCATGTAAAGGAGCTTATGAGGGATTCCAAAGATGGCAAAAAGTCTTGATTGGTGCAACAGTTGTGTTTTGTGCAACATCAGGGATTCCAGCAGATACCCAGTTGCGTGTACTTTTGGCTGGACTTGCAATTGTAAGCGCAGCCTTAGCTTTTGCCCTAAACCAACTCCAAAAGAATTTTGAATTTGTCGATTACGTGCATGCAGAAATCGAATAAACACTACCTCCAAAACAATTTCCACTAGTTAGTCGTAAATAGTGTTGAAGACAAATTTTACTTGTATACATATTATTTTGATGAAAAGAGCTCAAATCTACCTAACCTTGGTTGTATCACTAATTCATGGTTTTAAAATGTTATACACCACAATTACAATCATTCAGGTTTAAAGATCGCAGTTTGAAAACAAGGTTTGCTTTATGTTAATTACACAAACATGATCACATCGATTCCATTTCAAAACATCCTGCTAAACTAACCATTGGAACTTATGACCTTGGTGACCTCGCAAAGGGCAATGCTATTTTTCTCTATATGGATTTCTTCAAAATATTGAAATATCGTGATATTCTTTTAGAAATGGTGAAAATTTTGTTTTAAGAATTGTATTTAGTATTATTATAAGAATCGTTCATATTTTTAGTTGATGTAAAATTTCATAATTTTTTTTTATTTTGAGAAAATGAACGATTTTTCATAATATTTAAACATGTTTAGGTAAAATAATTCTTGTTAAAAGAATTTTCTTGTTGAGGCGTTAAATAATCTCAACTTCACGTTAAGACTTTGTTTTTATTGAGTTTTGAAAAGGGAAAAAAATATATAATAGTATTTTTTAAAGATTAAATAATAAAATATGATAAGTTTTGGTTGATATATTAAAAGGTTAACATTTCTATTTATCTGAATTTATAAAGTTATTAAACATACGATTTAGTAATTAAAAATATTTTAAAACATTTTAATTCATACGAGATACTAAAATATGCAATTCTATAAACACATTACAAGCTCTAGTTGTTTCAAGTTTATTTTTATTTTTAGTTTGACTTATTTTTTTGGAAAAAAAATTTATAATTGAACTCAGTTTACCACACCTTGGAAGATTAAAGTAAATTGATTTTAACCACTTGACTCATTGAGTTAAAAATAAAAACAAAAATAAAATAAAGCATTGAGATGAACCCCACGAGTACTTTTTGAGCATTAAAATGAATCCACCTTAAATTTTTTTCACAAAAAATATCCAAAAATACTCAACAACTTAGCACATTATTTCTTTAAATGAAAATATGAAAGCAAATATGGATGATAAAATTAAGATGGAAGTTATTAAATTCTTTTGTCTATAACAAAAAAAAACTCCTTTTTGTCTATTTATGACTGTATTAAAGAAAATGATAAATTTTACAAATAGGAATTCAGTGTTCAAACTTTTCTTTAGGTGTGAAATTATTTTTTTATTATATTTATTAAAAACAACTCTACCTTTGAAAAAAATTTTAAATTAAAATCAAAATTATAAAAACAAAAGTCAGTAATAATGATATTTTGTCAATAAAAAATAGAGTCATTTTGTATTGATATAAAAATATTTCTTATCCAATTTATTTAATCTCTTTCTATTTTTTTTTCAATCCACCAACCAATTGAAGATAATTTTTCCAACAATTTCGCTCTTATTACCATACATCCACATAACACAGTTTTATTCTATTTTCCTTTCATTTTTATCCTTTCTATTTCTTTCTACCTCATTATACTCTATTATTTTAGCGGAAAGAGTTTCACTCCATAATTACACAAATTCTATTTTTATCTTATCTTAATGCTCTCTTTTTTTCATATGGTACAAGAACAATGAAAAAAAAAACAAACCTTTTACTACTTATTAAAAACTAAAAAATAAATTTATGACCCAGACTATATAATTAGCTAAATCATTAATAAGATGCAAAAAAAAAAAAATTAAAACACTGCAACAAAACTTAAAATTTATAATTATTGAGTTTTGAAAGCTTACATCATAAATTATTCAAATTACAAAGTAAAAAAGAAAACAAAAATAAATAAAAAGACCAATTAATTAAAATTTTGCTCTTTATTTGTTTTTTTAGGTCCCTTCTACACTACCCTACCTAGTTCAGGGCTTCCCTGGTTAGCATTAGGACTAAGTATATACACATTATGGTGATAGTATTATGGAAATAATTAGATCTCATGCATGTGCTCTTCGAATTGTCTCGTACCAGATACGTCTCATCACAGTGAACAATAACAATGAATACACACATAAAAAAGACTATATATATGTGTGTGTGTGTATGTATGTAAATATTCCACATAGCATTAGTGTTTATTTTAGTCCTAAGCATATTCAGTGATGATAGTTACAGAAAACAAACCCTACTCAGTGGATAGAAAACAAACCGAGAAATAAAGAAAGAGGAAAAATATCAAACTAACAGAAAAGAAAAGCACACGATAATGCTAAGGCACAAACCAGATTAAAGCAATATTGGCTATTGCTCAGGAAGTATATATACCACATTGAACAGTAATTTCTATGGCCGCAAATTTACAACCGAGACGAACTTTTGTGCAGTGAACACCATAATTCATCCATGCATAAAATCACACTCCCAAACCTACTGCACCTAAAATAACATAGAGACGAAAATGTTAGTACAAGAACTCGGATATAATTATAAGCTAGTTTTTCAGGTGAAGTATATAGATTTATATATTCCTTTCACAAAATCATTATTTAGCATTTTCATACAGAATGTTATGCGAATCTATATAATCGATTACACGAGAACATAGTACGAACGTTGAAACTGGTAGAGTTAGCACCTCTTCATGACCAATCATCAAACACATCTTGACAAACCATGAATAGCTGGGGTGTGCCCCACGAACAAAGTAACGTGGCCCATAAGCTTGTCTTTCCTAGAAAAAGTTGTGCCACACGAGCACTGCCACTTGGGGTCCCCACAGTGCTTCTCATGTGTCCTCAAATCAGAAAGCACCGAAAACTGTTTCTGGTTGCACCTATTGCACACGTACATCTTGGGGCAGTGGCTCCTCTTGTAATGGTTTTTAGCACAAATCATTGACTTCAAGGGTTGGAACTTGGTATGCTTTTGGTTCCACCTGCACCCTTCTTGAGGGCACGAATATCTCTTGGTGACGCTTCCCCCACCCAATAAGCTATCCTTGCTTCTCAAGGCTGCACTTGTTTTGTACTCTTCCCCATGAGCCCTCATGTGCATCCTCAAATTGGCATCACGCTTAAACCCTTTCCCACAAACTTGGCAAAAATAGGAGTACTTTGCCAACAAATCTGCAGCATCCAATTCGATTATATCACTCTCTCCCATCATGTTGATGTTGGCTTCTTCATCCTTAATGTTACAATCTCCACTATTGTTATTATTATAGCTTTCAGCAAGCCAATCCAGTGCCTCTCCTTCAATACTAGATAAGAAATCACTTTGCCCTCTAATCACATCCGAGCTCATGTTAGTGTTACTAATACTAAGCATACCCCTATTATTGTTGCCAAAGTTTGATGGATGATGAGGTGATAATAATCTATCATTAACAATTTGTTGCTGATTCTGGTTTCGGTGCAATTCATTAGAAATACTAGTACCTGAAGAGGAACCAAGAGTCATTTGTTGACAGGTGAATCTCATTGAAGTGGCTGCCACTATGATTTCTTGGAGTGTTGCGTTAATGGTGGAGATTGCCATGGGAGTTGACTCGGGTAGGTTATGTTGAGGGGAGCCAAGAGCACCAACCAGGTTCTGCAGTTGACCTAGCTTGTCCTTCAGAAGAGAAAGATAGAAGAGGAAGGAGGTAGAAGAGTGTGAAGCTGCAGAAGAGCTTAGTTCAACAGAAGATGAAACCAAATATTCATTCACAGGAAACATGTGAAGTGCTTGAAAATCATTTGTGGAGGTAGATGCTGCCTTTGGCATCATTTTTGAATTAATCTTCCTCCAACAAACCTGTGAATGTGAGCTGTATGGTTTCAAATCTCTGTCTTCCGTGTGAAGATTGGCTTTGACTTGGATCAGAAGGAAAGATATACGTTATATACACTGGAAGGTGTATGTGGAGGGAACGTTCTTTATATAAAGTGGCAGAAGCAGCCAGATGATAGTAATAATTTGCATTTTTATATGTTCTGATATCACTTACGGATGGTTACAGATTCTCTGCAGAAGAGTGAGTTTACCCCTTATAAATTTTATTAATTTTAATTATTCATTTAAATTTAAGTCTTAATAAATAAATGGTCAGATGTTGATGCTTTCGCGAGTTTAAAAAGTTGATGCAAACTTCAAATTTAGTATGGATAAATATAAGCAAAAATTATATATTTAATGTTTAAAATGATTTCTTAATTAAAAACATAATTTATTTATATGATTAATTTTGACAAATGTAATGGATTGTTTCGGTCAAGGATTTAACCTAGTTGGTTAAGGAAGATATTTGATTAAGTGTTTAATTCCTATAAATAAATAAAAAAACAGAAGAAACTTATCTTATATGGTATCACGCTGAGGGCTTCTATAATTTTTCCTAATTTTCAAATTTCTGAAATTCTCTCACTTTAAACATCTCAAAATATAAAATGAGTTTTTCTGTAGTAAAAAAAGATAGTATATTGAAGAATATGGTGAAGTGAAAAAATATAAAAAGAACTTGAGCTTAAATTTGAAAGTGTTAATTTGATGCTGCATTTTAATTAAGTAGAAGTATTTGGTAAATAAACAAGAGTGCAACACTATTTATGTAATTAAGTTTAGTAAACTTAGATATTGAAAATTTAAAAAGGGATTAATTAAAAATGAATGTAGACAACAAGAAGTCAACTGAGAAGAGGTAGAAACCCATCCCCACTTAAGACCTCCCTCACATGAATCACATATCACATCAAACGTAGCAAACGAGAGATAACTTTCAATTGGTCACAAAACTTACAACTTTCATTGGATTGAGCTCATCATTCTAGTTTTTTGCACGTTGATTGTTATAAAATTGATTAAATCGTGGACCTCTACCCTTTTTTTTGGTTTAAAAAGTATTTTCTTTTGTCTTTTCTAAACTTATTTTTCCTTTCTTTTTAGGTTGTGTTGTCAATCTAAGCCAAAGCTTTGAAGGGTTCGCATGGACAATCTTGTTCGTGTGACGCCGTCAATTCCTTTTGTTCAAGTCTAATGTAAGTCATTAATGTATGTGCTTCAATTTTCATTCATTTTCGCTTTGTCTTTATATTGCTTTTACCTAATTTAATGATCTCATAGATAAATGATACTTTTTTTTTTCCTATAATGTTTTTGACTAAAGACAATGGTAATACGAAACACGTATTAAATGCTATATTTTTTATGTATTTTTCTTTAGTGGTAAATTGTTTGAATAATATATAACCAAATATTAATTAAGATAAAAATAGAGAATTCCAGGAAGTTTCACGTTGAATAAAAATCATATGAAAAATATTTATAATTTATTATCTTAATATTTTAGATTGAATGTATTTTTTTATATAATTCTTATTGTTGGGATTCTCTTGTATGATGTGTCATGAATATTAGCTATCAAATTATTATTAAATATAAACTCAAATATTATATTGAAAATTAAGTTTGAATCTAATTCACAACTGATTCAAAGATTAACACTACTAAATATTCACGTATAATTATGAGTTAATTATATAATAGAAACGCAAGTCATTTTTTATCTAAAACCTTAATAGGTTCAATATTAAGGTTTTGTTTTTATTATATGTTATTCTTTTTTCTATTTATATTCAAGTAATTATTTTAATTCATTACATCATAATTAATAGAATAATTATTTTCTTTTCTGTAATAAAATAATAAGTAACTTAATCCAATGAGATAAGATTAAGATCAGGCGTGAAGGACTTTTGATAAGTATAAATTAACTCGTATTTAAACTTCTTTGGAGGCAAGTTGAAAACGACACGTTGATGATGAATTAGGTAAATAGTGGCAAGTGCACGTGTTATGGAAGTGGTAAATGCAAGTGGGGGATTTTAGTTTGTTCCAAGATGTTATGAAATTCAAAATAGTCAATATTATTAAAGTTACATGTGTTTAAATAATTGTTTTCAAAATTAAATGTAATTACGTTAGTTAAGCATGGAAATAGAGTGAAATACTTTATCGTTAAAAAATAATAATAAAATATAAATATATTAATATCAATACATTAGTATTGATTCTATGTATCGTTACTCCCTTTGATAAAACTCAAAACTTTGCGATCCAATGCCTTCAACAAACACGTTGAAAATATGGGAATTATTGCTGTTTAGATGGTTCGTCTTAAATTCTTGTTATGCATAGCAAATGAAATTTGATAAAACAAATGTTGTTTTTAATTAAATTAACTTTGTATCAAAATTTAAACTAAGCACGATGATTGTAAATCCAAAACATAAATTATGACGATGATATTTCAAACTTGTTAGATACACTAAACGGTTTATCTATTTAAGTGGTTTTGAAGTTTTGATAATTTTTTATCTCACTAACCATGACAAATGAAGTTTGAAGTCACGTAGTATCAAGATTGAGTCTTGGTATGAATTATAATAATAAAGATAGTCTCTGTAGAAGATAAGAATAACAATGGGGGTGAGGTGAAGGTGATGAGCTTAACTTGTTTCATATCTCAACCAAAAGTTTACTATTTTAAAAATTGGATTCGAATGATAGATTCAATCGCTTTAACCATAATGAGTGTTTTCAACTAATTAAATTTTAATTATATCTAAATTTTAATTATATAAAATAAAATTGAAATAAAATAAAAAAAAATCAATTAAATTTTTGGATCGAATTAATTTTGATAAAAATATTAAAATTAATTTTTTAATATTTATAAAAAAATATAATATATTTTAATTTTTTTTATTTTCATATTAATTACATTAATTATAAGTAATAGTTATTTTTACTGTATTTTTATCATATTTTAATAATTATTTATTTTATATTCTTAAATATATTTTATATTTATACTTTTTATGATAATTTTGGATGGAGAACAATAATTTTTATTAATAAATTTATTATATTATAAAAATATTATTTTATTAAATTTAGTTAAACCCTAATTATATCTCGATTGAATCTTTAAATATTTTAAGACATATTTTATTATTCACGATTTTAAAATCATCTGAAAAATGATAATAAGTTTTAATTCGTCTTTAAAGAGACAAAACACACAATTTTTAAACTCAATTGCATCAACGTTGATTGTACCGAGTAGAGGGAAAATCACTAGCACATGTCTCGTTTTTTCTTATACATTTTTAAAATAAATTAGTATTTTTGGACATATATAATTATATAAAAAAAAATACTTTCATTCTCTATGATGATATGATTGCAAAAATATTTTTCAATTAATTTACGTTTTATTTCCAATGACTATTTTTTATTTTTGATATTGGGTTTGATTAATAGAATTAAAATGATATTAACAAACTTTCTTCATTAGTGTAAAACCTAATTAAATTTTCTTATATTTAAGTCTTGGAAAAAGTTATTAAGTTATTAAGTATTTAAATTCAAATAATAAGTAAAGTTAATAAATAATAAAGAACTATAAATTAAAATTTTAATAACAATTATATTTGTAGTAAAATCAGATTTAAAAAATAAGACATATTTTTATAACTTAAGATTTTTTTTTAATTTTAAAGATAAAAATCAGATTCAGTTCAAAATTTCAAAAGACTAAAAGTATAATTGAAACTAAAATAAATCTAACCCAACTTCATTCAAATTGAATTTTTTAATCTAAAAGTGGGTCAAAGTTACCACGTACTAATAATTAGTTTTTTTTAATTCAAAATTAGGTCAGACATACAAAATTCTAATAATGAGTTTTTTTTTTAATTTAAATTAGGTCAGAGTTAGAAAGTACAATGACTTGAGGTATGCTGCTTGTCATGTGGATGGATAAATAAATATATACAATTATAAAAATATAAATGTAAAAAATTAATAAATCAACAAATAATCCTATCAATTAAAAATAGATAGTGAGAAATTAATTTCAAAATTTAAATAAGAGTTTTTTTCTATATTATAACTTTTTATGCTAAAAGTGTATCCATGGATCATAGTAAATTTCAGTTTTTAATTATTCTAATAAAACTTTTCATACTCAGTTTATAAAAGTTAAACTCAAAGATTTATATTATCAATTAAATAAAAGGTTACTTAAATATAATTTTAAAAAATAATTATTATAAAAATAGTAGTCAATTTCTTTATCAAATAAAGAATAAGTTTACCTTACATTATTGTATATTTAATAATAGAATTCTAAAATTTAAAAACTTCTCCTTTTATAATTTACGACGTGTAACACCGGAAATGAGATAAGAAAACAGAGCGTAGTGCTTGTTATCAAACCATCAATGGCGTCACCATTATCTTCTCTCTCCTCCAACTCTTCTTCACTCTTGCACCACACCTTCACCGGAAGCTCGAAGGTTCCAATTCACTTCCCCAACAAAACTGCGCGCTTTTTGGTCTTCGCTCAAAAGAAGGCAAAGAAAACTCGAAAGGTTCCATAAAAATTCCATGCTCTAACACCATAAATAAAACCTTTTTCGTGCTTTTCAACACTATTTGGATGTCAAATTTGATTTATGTAGTTGTGCAACAAATGGGTATACTTGGGTTTTCTCTAGTGTAAGGTATTTGTACACTGAAGCACTATATATTCACTATGTTGGTTATATGTGAAATCAGATTATTTTGAAGGAAGATGTGGCTGATGTGGGAAAGCAGGGGGAACTTCTTGATGTCAAGGCTGGTTTTTACAGAAACTACCTGCTTCCTATGGGAATGGCACAACTTGTTACACCCCAGATACTCAAGTAATGTGTAATTAAACCCCCTAGGTCTTGTACAGCACACATAATTATCTATAATTTTTTTTTTTCGCATTTCAATATTTTGGACTAGTGATTGGAATTTGCATTTACATGATCCGTTCGTAGTTGAAGTAATGGTTGTCAAACAAACAGTAGGCTGCTTCATGCTTGGATAAGTGTCCAGTGATTGCTGAATATGTCATTGTAGTGTCATGAAAAATAAACTATCTCTGGTAAGAGTTCGTTTGAATGTGATTGATTTGTGTCTATGGACTAGCGAGACTTTAGAACCTTCTGGATTTGATTGGAGAACAACAAAAAGATGGCTGAGTTATTAATTATACTAGTAATGACTTTGATCTGTTCGGTTGGACTGGGTTTTCAAGTTTTTTTCTGTTACTGTGGTTACTGGTGTATTAGTTCAATAACAACTGCTGTCATCTTGGATTATTACCAAATGAAAATATTGTCCTCCTCTTTCACATAACATTGTTTTTGTGCCATTTTTATGATAAAATAGTACAAATTCTGTATTTGTGAGTGTAACAAATCTTTGATTTAGTAATTTGTGCACGAATTTTTGTTTGACTTTTTCTGTCTGTTTCTTTTATAGAGAGATGATCATTGAAAATTTAGGGCTAGCTATATATATGTGCAGTAAATGACATATAAAACTGTTAGAACTCTTCATTTTAACCTTGTTTCTCCACAGGGAAATGAAGATAGAAGAAGAAAGAATTGAGGCTGAGAAAAGACGGGTAATTTTTCCTTTTCCCCCAATCCCTATATGGATCAAGGGTTACCATCTGTGAATTGCATTAGGAATGAATACTATGCTGTTAAGCTCCATGTGTAAACCTTGCATCAAGAGCGGTAAACTTGTAACAGAGAGTTCTATATTACAGAATGTACACTTCTTTCAATGGTTATCCCTGCAGTTATTTTGTATGCACTGAAGCACTTTCTTTTAATACCTGGTTATCTGCACCCAGGCAAATTTACATCTAATTTCATACTATCTTCTGAACTTATTAACAAGTTTATATTTCTGCAGGTAAAAGAAGAGGCACAACAACTTGCTCTAATTTTTGAAACTGTTGGGGCTTTCAAGGTGAAGCGTAAAGGTGGTAAAGGAAAACAAATTTTTGGAAGGTAGGATTTTTCCTGCACAAATTATGTGAAGTCACTTTATGTCCCTGTATGGATCTTGTGTCTAATGTTTGGTTGCTTTTTAGTGTCACTGCTCAAGATCTTGTTGACATAATCAAGGCACAGCTTCAAAGGTACCATGCTTTTTATGTACAAAAATCTTTTATTTTGTCAGTATTGTAGGTGTTCTTTGATTGAGTACTATTCTATACAATCACAATTTTTCCTTTTCTTTGATGTGGCTAAAATATCGCTTCAGTTTCTAAAGCTTGTGACAGACTTCAGTAAGGTGTTTCTCATTTCACTAATGCAGATGAATTTTTTTTTTTTTTCAATTGATTCTGGAGCTTCCCTCTGATTTTTGATGGTTAATATTATGATATTGTTTTGGATTAAGTGTTTGATATAATTTATTTATTTGTGGAATATGAACCAAATTGCCGAAATAGCAATACAGTCATCCAATATCCGATGCTTAATTTAGCAAATTTCCTATTATTATGGAGTTTGCATGCATAGTATGTTTCATGTGATAACTTGGTATAATCTGTCAATATTGCGGATGTATTTCAGTACTGCATATGAATTTGCTTTTTTCTTTTCCTTTTCCTTTTCCAACTTCTAGTACAAAATACAATATAATTGAACTTCATCAATTTAAACTATCCTCGCATAATTCTATGGATTCCTTTGACGTGTTTCAATCTACACAATTTTCTGCTTGATTACTATTTTAGAAAATTTCCAAATTTGTTGCACTCTTCAATTTATATGCTACTTTATACCATTGACGTGGTATCAAATAAGCACATTTGATTTGTCGAATAAAAATGTTCACACATGAAATGATCATTCTAGTTCCGAGATTCGGTTGGAGAAGATCATACAAGTACATTCCACTGCCTAAAATTGGCGAGATTAATTGTTTTTCCAATATTTATTTCATATCTGATTTATAATCTGACTGATTGATTGCTTTAAGATATATTGTTCTGTGATTCATTTCTAGGGAGGTGGACAAGAGAATTGTTGATCTTCCAGAGATAAGGGAAACAGGAGAATATGTTGCAGAGTTAAAGCTTCACCCAGAAGTTACAGCTAGAGTGAAGTTGAATGTTTATGCCAACTAAAAGCACGAATATGTTCTGAAGTTCCTATGCTAAATGGAAATTTGAAGCTACCAACTTGCATTGGTTCAAGTTGCCTAACCATCTTAGGATGATAAATCTTCAAACATCAAATCTTGTAATCGTTCCGAGTCTCGGATGAGGAAGGGTCTGTCATAAGCCCAAAATGGGAATTGTTGCTTATTTGAACATTTTTGTTTTGTTCATACCCCCATTCTTGAATGTGTATTCAATTTTTAGGACAATGTAATGCACTACTTTGTTGGTGGTAAAGGATACTTTTTCCTTTGATCTTTCACTGGTATTCAGCATCAACTGAAAACATGATTGAAAATAGAAAAACAAAACCAAGTACATGTTGTGATCTTTCAATGGTATTTATTTAGCATCAACTGAAAAACAAGATTGAAAAGAGAAAAAAAAACACAATCCATATACATGTTGCTGCCCAGGATCGAACTGGGGACCTTCAGTGTGTAAGACTGACGTGATAACCACTACACCACAGCAACTCTGTTGAAAGTGTTTTCAACATGTTTTATCATAATCTGTATCTTGCAATTTCACATCTAGTTCTTGCCTTTAAAATAAATAGCAGTAACACACTCTTTCAAATTATTTTTTTATTAATTAAAATTTGTTAAAAACATGAAAGTTTATAGACTTTATTCTTATTTAATGATAAATACCACTCATGATTTCTATAGTTTATAATAAATGTTAATGAATAATAAGAAATATGTTAGAGATTATGGTATAAAATATGTTACTAATACTTCTCAAAGACAAACCGTTCTTTTAAAGGCAAAATGCGTTTTGAACCTTGAATTCAGATATTCTACCGGTTTTTGAATTTATTTGAATTTTTAACCTTGAAATTGATTAGTCGAATCTCTAATATTTGCTTCTTCTTTTTTAACCATCATACTTAATTGAATGACCAATCTAATTTAAGGTTTAGTTACACTTAAAACTCCTCTATGAAACTTAACGTGCATAGTAATTCAACATTTGATAAAGGTTGTTGTATTGAATATTAGACATGTTCAAATCGAATAATTCACTCTATTACATTCAAAAGTAACAACAAGTGGATTAAACATGGTATATTTAACACCGCCAAACTATTTTTTGATGTGTGTCATTAGTCTTCAATCAACCGACATAAGTTTTACCAACACAAATATCTTAACACTTACATGGATTCTTGGAATCTTATAAAAATTTCTTCCAAAGAAAACTACCTTACGTGAGAGTGGAATAACCCACAATTTTGTGAACAATGTCAAAAACTGTTCAACAGTCATTATCACTTGGAGTAACTAGCTTTTGTAAAACCTAACCAAACCCTAAACCAAGGAAGTGGGTGTTTAGAGTGACATATTCCACAAAGAATGAATGGCTTTGGATGTGATATTTGGAAACTAAACCTTGTTTAGGGTCAAGACTGAACACCAATAGGGTATTGATTAAGCAATTGATTTGTGGAGTGGAAATTAATTAAAGAGTAGCTACCAACGACACATAGAATTTAAGGCCGGCCAAATGCTTGGTTTTGTGGTTGTGGGGTTGCAAGTAGGGACAACAAGACAAAAAAATAAAAATCGTAATTGATAGCATAATTTTTTTATTAAATCGTGTACTTAATTACGTAATTTCTTAAATAATTATCAAAAATAATTTGAATTTAAAATTATACAATTTCAATCCTTTTATTATAATTCTATATCAAAATTATAATATAGAACATCTTCGATATAATCAAAATAGTGTGAATTTTCCTCTTTGAATTAAATTAAGTTTTACCATCATTTAATAAATAAATGGACAATTTACTATTTAAACATTTATATAAAAAAGTGTTTATATTAAATATTTAACATTTATATGTTTAAAAGAAATTTCCTTATTTTCTATATTTATAATAATATTATGTAGAGGGCTTTTTTTTTTAAATGATTTTAATGTTATGGTTAATAAATCACTTATATTTTTTTCTATGATCCTTCAATTACGCATTTTCTTGTTCTCAAATATAAATGAAATAAATAAAATTAATTAAAAATGCATTTTTTTTCTCTTTCAATAATATTTTTTTTTCAATATTTTCTCACAAATATAAATTAATAAATAAATATAATAAAAATATATAATTTCTTTCTTATTATCTTAATTACATGTTTTCTTCTATTCATCACCTTCATACAACTTTTTCTTACAGTTTTCTTTAAATATACATAATTTTAAGATAAATGTTTATATTTTAATATATATATATATATATATATATATATATATATATATAATTCTAACTCGTTAAAAAAATTATTGAAAAATACAGGCACACGTACATAACCACTAATGTATATATATATATATATATATATATATATATATATATATATATATATATATATATATATATATATATATATATATATATATATAAGAGATAATTTCTCGTTTATAATCGTTGTGTTATTACTTCTAAGATAATATTATTTTTTATTAAATATACTATTATAAAATAATTTTTTTCTTATAATTTCTTAAAAAAATAATATAAGAAAAATAATTATTATAATATTATACATTTGAAAGAATAAGAAAAGAAAAAAAACAATAATGTAAAAAATGAGTCGGGAAAGAATGTAGCTATATAATAGCATAATGTATTGTAAAAAAAATAAAGTAAAAGTTAAATAATAATAATTAAAAAAAGTTTAAAACGTATATGTTTTCACTTGTTATTAACAATGGAGATTGAATTAAGAAAAATCTGAAAAATAAATTAGGTTAGACCAACAAATTTATAGTCTAAATAGAATAAGATTAATTTTGATCTTATTTAGACAAGAGTTAAAATGAGTGTAGGTTAAACTAGCTTATGGATTGACATATCATTAAGTGGGAGTTAGGTTGGATAGTAAGACTAGCTTATTGAAACAATGAAAATTTGACTCTAAAATTTACTAAGGTACACTTAGTAAATACATTATTAACATGATCTTCCATTAAGCTATATTGAGTACGAAGGAGTTTACAAGGTAAATAAAGTTTTGAATTCTGATTTTAAATCAATTCCTAAAAATACTTCAATTACTTAGGTTTATAACGTGTATTTAACTTTAATTATTTAATGTTATTTATTTACTTTTTGTTATTAATTAGAGATAAAAAAATGGATATTTTATGGTTTTATACGATAAATTTTTGTATGATAATATTTTATGTTTTTATTTTGTCAAGATGGTCATGAATTAATTTTGAATAAATAAATGACATATTATTTTTTAAAATAAAAAAAATTATATAAATACAAGATTTTTGTATTTTTAATATATATATATATATATATATATATATATATAATTATATAAATAAAAAAATTATATAAAAATGACAAAAAATAATACATTAACCCGTTAGTTTAATATAAGATAAAGTTAGACAAAAAGTTTGGATTCATTTTAAAGTATAAATCAAACTCGATTACTAAATTTTTTTTAAATAACTTATAAAATCACGTTAGGCTAAGCCTTTTTTATCACCCTAATTCTAACTAATATAATATACATAATTCCTTCTCATTGTATCTTTGATATTATATAATTTTTAACTTTTTAACTAATTTTTTTATTAAATTATAAATATGATAACGGTTTCGTAATTAGTTTCTTCAAAATTTCAGACTCTAATCATTTTTAATTATTTTAAAATTATAATTTTATTGATTATTTTAGTAATTATTTTTGTTAATATATTTTTTAAAAATATAGACATGCGCGACAGATAAAATAGTTAACTATTAATTTGTTTTAATATTTTTTATAATCAATGATAACTATATTTAAAGTTATATATAACTTTTAACATTTGAAATAAAATAATATTTTATTTTTTAAAATTAATTTTATCATAATTATTTGAGAATAAAATAAAAAATATTTATTATTAACTTTTTTAAATAAGCAATCTTATATAAACATATATATATATATATATATATATATATATATACTTTTATTTATTTATTTATAAAAAAAAATCCTTTAAGTATTGACTATTATCGTTATAAAAGCTGACGTGTAACATAATTCAGTTTAGTTTAATAGTTTGTTTTTAATTAACATGCTCTTTTTACAGTCTTAATATTATTGGGCATAAGTTCTTATAAAAAGGCAACTCATGATCTTCTGTTTGGCATCGAGCAGAAAAGAACACAATAACCATATCAATATCGAGGTAAGTTTTCACTTCTCACCGTCACCGTCATTGTTGTGTTACGCATGAACACGAGTGTCTTTTCTCAATAATCATATTTCTTTATCGAATGCATTGTACGCACGTGACATTTTCTTTGCATGAATTCAAGATACAGTGAGCAAGAAAGTGAATCTCTCTTGAAGGAAAAGACACAGATAACGGCAATGGACATGAGTGAGGAGCAGCATTTGGTGAAAGAGCACCAAGTATTCATGGTTGTTACTTTTTTTGTGGTGCTTTATTCATTGATGATGATGCTTATGTCAGCGTTTTTCACTCGTCAGTTATTTCCGATCACGCTGCTTTCTCTATTTGGAATCGGATGTGCCATGAGCATCGCATTTTTGGCAGCCATTTCACCCATTTTTGCATGGATAGGGCTCGCCATTTGGTTATTTTTCTTTGGTTATGTTTGCTATCACACTTGTATATGCCCATGAAATACATTTTCTTCTTTCTAAATCATCTTTCTAAATCTTTCATTCAATCATCATCTTATACAAGAGACTATTTTTATAAATAAATCTTTTTATCTATAACGATTTTTTATTTATTTTTTATATATAAAAGAATTTATCTACGTAATTGTATTTGATGCATCTTTTTTTTATTTTTAAAATAATTTATTTTGTTTATAATTTTTTAATGTTATTTTTATATAATTATAGGCACATGTGCAAAGCGTTTGTATTTGAATTAATTTATATGAAATAGGATTGTCTAACAAAAATCCACGAAAGAAAAAAAAAAGGGTAAGTGACCAAAGTGGGAGAAACTGAATAAAAATTTTAATTTGATTACTTTTAATTTCGTGTGATCATTTTACCATTAAATTTTAATTTTAAGAACTAGTTTCACATTAGATCAGAATTGATTATATATACCACCATATTTTGAGGTATTTTTCGTACTCGAAAAATAAATGATTTCTTTTAAGATTAAATTAACAATCTATTATATTTTCACAAACTTAATCGTCATTTATAAAATAATAAAAAAAAGTTACAAGACACCATTAATTTTAATTACAAAATTAAATAGATTGTCTAGTAATTGAGTATGGCCATAAACGGTTAGTACACTACCCTATCATGTATTTTTTTCGAAATTATCTCACATACAAAATAAAAAAGAAATATATAAATTAATTGTTATTATTATTATTATTTGGGAGAAAATAATTAAAAATGAGATTGTAGAAAGCAAGGAAAGTAATGGAATAGAGAATATAAATTGGGATGGAGGGAAGCTCTCCAACTACATGTGCAAATGTCAATGAGTGATCGATCTTCTTATGCATTCGGACACCTCACGCAACGTACGTGTCCACATGCTTCGCTTACATTCACAAAAACGTGCACATAACTAACTTTAAGTGCCCACTCAAACTCACTTCAAACTCTTCCATCACTCGCTTTCCTTGGTTTATGTTTTTTAAGATCGTTATTCACATATTCTCAATATTATTTTCCGTGGAAGAAAGAAATCGAAATTTCTGATCACTCATCCGTGGTTGTGAACTACAAAATAGAGTTAAAGTTTATAGCTAGAAAAGGTCCTAATTAACGAGTGGGTGATGGGTCCATCTCCAAACAGAGGACCATTCGTATAAGTCCAAATCAAAGGCACTTGTGGCTTCAAAGTTACCAAAACTTCCATCACATAATCTCAAACCCATTATTAATTAATCATTATACACCCATATTGGAATTGATTAAAAAGGGTCTAAATGAACTAAATTTGATATGTTGTGAACAGATTAGTTGTTAATTAGGTGAAACTTACTAGTTTAAAGCGACTAATGAGAATAAGGTGGTGGGTGATTCATGAATGTGTTTCTGGTAAGGGAGAGAGTTTTGAAAGATATGGCGATTGATGGGTATGCATATGGTAGAGGCATATTTATCAAATCAGTTTTCACAAATCCTTTATTCTCTTCATTAATGAAAGGAGTGGGAATGGGTAGTGAGTGTGAGTGAGAAAGTGATCTTTTAGCTTTATTATAATGAAATCCAAAACCCATAAAGGAACCTAATCCACACTTTTGGTTATGGCCATGGTGCTGCTGCCAAACCAAACCCTAGCTAGCCATGCCAAACCACTCTCTCTCGCACGTCGCTCTCGGTTATCCCCTCAAACAAGAACTTGCAATACACCCAAATAAAATAAATAAATAAATAAATGGAAAAGAATAGAAAAGAAAAATATAAATAAAAAGATGCCCTTTGAACTATCACTCACTTTTCGTGAATGAAAGGCAACCATGAACACTAACCACTTACTTACTCAAAGTATTCCAACTTGAACAAGTAGATCGATCACATATATCAAAATGGCAATTATTAATAAACCGATTTCGGAATAATAATCCAAAAAAATCGATAATTAGGAATAGTTGTAAATTAAAAATAACACTAATAATTCACATTGATATCAAAATAATAATTCTTTGAAATTCCAATCCCCACCCCGCTTCTAATAATGACAATCTACCAAAGCCGGAGTACCGACCAGCACCTGAGTCGTTACCGGAAATTGAAACTTAGTCTCCCGGATATCATCCTCCGGGGCCGGGAGGTTAAGATCCAATTGTAGGATGTTTCGCGGCGGCGAAACGGTGGTGGTGGTGGTGGTCGCGACGGCGGTGATGGTGTTGCAACTTGATGTGTCAACAGTGTTGGTGTTTGTGGATGCCCTATGCCTCCTCATGTGTCCACCCAATGCTTGTCCTGATGTGAATTCAGAACCACAAATGGAACATTCATGAATCTTACCCTTGTTGTTGCTGTTGTTGCCATGACCCAGTTGAAGGGGAATTGGAGGGCCAGTTTTAACGTTATCCTCCTCAAACCGATCGTAGTTGGTGACACCCATGTGTGGCAAGTGAGAGGGTGGTAGTTTTTTGTCTTCAGCCACGAGTTTGGGCTTTTTGTGACTCGCCCTGTGTCCACCAAGTGCTTGAAACGAAGGGAAAGTTCGGTTACACGTTTTGCACTCATAAATAAAGAAACCAACTTTGGCGTTAACAGCGGTTGTTGCGGTGGTGGTAGTGTCACTCTTACCCTTTTCTGTCTTGACACCGTTACAATTTCCAAGCCCATGATCTTCAACTTGTTGCTTGTCCCGACGAGGATCACGATGATGCTGCTGATGATGATAAGAATCCCCTCCTTGGGCCAAGAGAATCAAACAATTTGCCATATCTTCCTCTTCACTCTCACAAGTGGTGGTGGAGGAGCCACCAGAATTAGGACTGGAGCAGCTATTGGTAGTGGCGGTGCTAACAACGACGACACCAGATGGGGACAAAAGCCTCATCCTTTTGGTGCGTTTTCCCTTGGCCATGTTGTTCTGGGTAGAACTAGAATTGGAATTAGAATTAGAATCCAACCCTTCCATCTCCATGTCTCTCACAAAACTGAAACAACACACAAGTGACGAGAAACAAAGGGTGAAGACAAAGCTGTTTTATATGTAAAAGAATGCTATTTAAGGTAAGAGAGAGAAACGTGGGTAGGATGGAGTGATGGAATTGAAGTAGTTAAATATATAAATATGTTTGTGTGTGTGTTGTGAAATTTGGTAGTGAATGGGAACACAGGAGAGTTTGAAGCCGTCTTATAACAGCTACACCCAAGTGGTCTGTCACCAAAATCTTCCTTGCGTTTCCAACCTTCGAAGTGTTACTAACAAGAAAACTAACTTCCTTCACCTCTCTCACGCGCCTCTCTCAGCACTTCTTTCTACGCTTTCATCATGACCACACTTTTTTCCTCTCTTTCTGTTTCACTTCTACTACTTAACATCTTCCTCAGCCTCAGGGTGTTACTTTTATGTGAACCAATATTTTGTAATAAAAAATTATACTTTTTGTGTCCTATGATAACAAGTTGCTTGTGCCAATGCTTGCGTTGTTGTGTTCTATTATTCTCCCATGATTAGCATCGTTTTTGTTTCACAATTAACGTGAGTTTAATTGGTGTAAGAGTGAAACTAATGTATAGTGTATAACTTAAAGTTGGGTTTACAAGTAAGTTAGGTTGGAATTAGAGATGGAGATTGATGGATCTGATAGTAAGTAACTGATAAAGTGGAAAAAGGAAAAAGCTAGGACGCCAGAATATGGAGGAGTTAAAAAAATAAAATAAAGAAAAAAGGTTGGCGTTAACGTTTCAGAGTCGGTTTCAACGCTCTCTTTTGTTCACACCTTTAGGGCAACTATTTACACTAACCCATTCAAGCAAAGTGAGATTGCATCACGTTAAAAGCATGTCAACTTTCATAACTTGGTTTGTTCGAAGAAAAAAAAAGTCCTAATCCAAGTCTAATGATTAGAGATTCGGGTGGCTTTCAAGCAAACCCCTTGATCCATAACAGGAAGAGAAACTATGTATGGTAATGTTTGGTAAGCTTGTTAAGTAGGAAACCATAATGAATAATAGAAATTGTATTTTATGATTAGTTTTTAGGACATTAGGTGTAGTGTAGGGTTGGGTTAATGAATAATATATGGAGTAAGGAAGGCACAACATGTAACATACAGCTAGTATAGGACGTAAGAACTTTGGAAGGTTTCCTACAAAAGGGTATGTATGATTATTCCTTTTGATTAAACTTCATCTTCTGCTTAAAGCTAGCTATATTGAGCTGTCACAATAATAAATTATTGTTAAACATTTTCATGATGAAATAGTTTAAAATTTCTTTAAACTCTCACTTAATATGAATTCTCATGCGTTCTAATTTTATTGACTTTCACGATAATTATTTTAAAATATATTTACAATTATAATGATGGAGAATATTTTATACAGCCAATGTATTAAAATTAGACTCTTAATTTAATGCATTTAATATTTAAAGTTGTATAAACTTTATCTTTTAGTTTTATTTAAACAATTATTTTAGTTTTTGCATTTAATTCAAATATAATATATATATATATATATATATATATATATATATATAAATGAATGGTTTTTAAGTATAAGGATAAAAAATAAATAAAAGTTGTGCAATATTAAAGACCAAGTATAAATATTTTCACATTATCAATCAATCAAAATATATAAAAAAAAAATTTGACTTTACGAATAAATATAATATTATAGACAAAAATATCAGGGAATCCTTAATACGAACAAATAAAAGAATTCACTTTACGAATAAATATAATATTAAACAAAAAAAATATTAATGGATACTTAATACGAACAATTTTATTGTTCATCTTGATTAATGTAAATATACACTATTATGTCATATCATATTTAGCCATTCTTAATTTTCTTCTAATAAATTTTTTTTTTTGAAAAAACTTAAATGATTTAAGATTTATTTGATTTAGTTTTTAAAAATAGTTTAAAATATCAGTTTTGAAAAAAAAAACTATTTTTTAAATATAAGTTGAAAACAATTTTTTTGATAATTCTATTTTTAAAAATGATTATAAACAAAACAATTGAGATGATAAAGTTGTAACATAAATTACAAAATAATTTTAATAAATTTATGATTATGAAAATTAATGACTTAATGTGATTATTAATAAAAATGTTAAAACACAACGAAAATATAAAACTAAAACAGAAAATTCTCTTGTTAATTTTGAACTTTTTAGTTTTAAATACTAAAAATAAAAATAGTTTTTGAAAACAGAATCAAAATAGTTATCAAATTAATTTTCAAATTTTTAAAACTAAAAAACTAAAAATTATTTTCATAAATTGCAAACAATATAGACCCATAGTTTTTATTCATTTTTTAAATTCTTTTATCAGATAGGAATCTTTCAAAAATTATTTAAAATGATTAGTATTATTTAAACATTTTAATTAGCAACTCTTGTCTAAGGCGCTTTTTTATATATAATTTTAAATCTATTTAATTTTTTATAATCAATTATTAAATATATTTATTAAGATATTATAAAAGAACTTTTTTTTTTCACATTTTCGTATTCTATCGTTGAATTGTGTATTTTATGGATTTTGTTTTCCCAAAATTATAGGTTAAGATCTTAGATAAAAAAAATATAAAATATTTATATATTTTAAAAAATATATATTAATCTTTAGTAAATTCATAAAATGCACATAAATATTATGAATTTATATTTTATAAACCCTTAAAAATCCAAATCACAGAATCCTAAATTTAAAAGCCTTTTTAAAAAGTATTTAAAAAGTTATTTATCACAGAAATCTAATCTTAAAAGGTTTTTTTTGAAAGGTATTTAAAAAGTCATTACATTTTTGAAAAAAATTAAAATCTACATGACTTTTGTTTTGTGTAAAGAAGTCTTCTGAAATACTAAGTATATATTAATATATAATCTTTAGATAAACAAACGAATTTTAAAATCTCAGCATAATGCAAATATTTTAAGCACCCAAATCTTAATTAGCAAAATTAGAGAGTAAAATGGACAAAAAACACATAAATTAATAAGGCAATTAGGCATGTAATTCGTTTTGATATTATCATTAACAGAGTTTAGAGAGAGATTTGAAGCATTCCATTCTCATGTGTGGTCCTATGATTTTTTTTTTTTTAATAGAATGTTAATTACAATCACTTTAATCAGGTCATTGACTTAATCGTCCACTAGTAGGTGATGAGGATTATATTACATTATTACCCATTAATCTATATACAAATCAAGAGCAGTTGAACAAATAATCTATACCACTAATATTATGAGACATTTTACATCTATCATTTTTTTTAATCAGTTATTAAATTTTGTAAAACAGACTCTTATAAATAACATATTTTACATCAACTTGTAATTAATAAAAAAATAATACTTTTTTCATCAGTTATACCTAATTAACATCTAATGTAAAAAGTATTAATGCAACTTGGACTTTTTAATAACATATTAAGATCAATTATTTTTAAAACTCAATAACATTATAATTGTCAGTCGTATTATATGAAATTTCAATCATAAATAACATGATTTAAAGAATTATCAGTTTTCTTTTAATTTTACTTTGTTAAATAATTTAAATTGTTTAAAAATAATATATACTTTCTCTAAAATATAAACTTAAAAATGAAACTAATATAAATTCTCTATGTACATAATATATCAATAAAAGAACATTTAAATAAATAGAAACTAGCACATCCAGAGTAGAAAATAGAAATTTCGCTCTTGTCTTTTAAAAAAAAATATTGGGAATAGAAGAAAAAATGACATAGTTTTACCAATTTAATGTTTTTCTTATTCAAAGTAAATATATCCTGAAATGACTTTTTTTTCATCTCATAATGTTTTATTATTATTATTATTATTATTATTATTATTATTATTATTATTATTATTATTATTATATAAATGGATCTACTTATTTCAAATATAAAAATTAAAATTTGTTCTTCATTTTAATTTTACTTTTTTATAATCTAAATATTAAAATAAAGTAATAATTTAAATTTTAAAAAATAATAATAAAGATGAAGACTTTACTCATATTTTTGTACTGAATATATATATATATATATATATATATATATATATATATATATATATATTAAATAGGTTTTGATATATCTCAAATAAATTAAAATAATCTGACATATATTGAATAAGGTATTTAAGGAAAATACTTAACTAAAATTGAGCTTTTGTAAGCAATGACTCAAATATAATCCAAACATATTAAAGCTCAAGATATTTTGAGTTTAATCATGAATTAAGATGTCATGAAAAAAAAAATGGATATTCGTGAAAGATATTTTTAACATTTAATTTCGTAAGAGTTCCACTATATATTCATAAAAAAAATGGATATTCATAAAAGCTTTCTTATATAAGTTCTTATAAAAAGAATAACTTACTCAAGGTTGAGCATGCACCACAATCCTTAACAGATTCGCAAGGGTTTTTTGGCCATGAGAATTCTATCCAACTTTACTAAATTTAGCTATCATTTTTATCAATAGGCTTAGACCACAAAGTTAGGCTAATTGAGTTTATTTAAATGTTTGGCCTAACTTTATTTATATGCCTTTGAACATAGACAAACTATAAAATGTATCAATGTGACTAGATTACAAAACAAACCAATCCACTTGATTATATCAACATATATTATTCTTTTGGAAATAATACCAAAAAATTATTATATTATTATTATTAGTAGTAGTAGTAATAGTAGTATAATGAATAGTGCTTTTAGTATGAAAAGTTTTCAATGACCAAAATCACTATTAACTTATTATAATTATCACTATAAAATAGATTGACTTGTCATTTTTTTTTAAATAAAACTTTTTAGGTAACATTTATTTTAAAATTTTCTTATCATGTCCTTTTCTAAATAAATAGATATTAGTTTATTAGGGAGCAGATAAACTTTTATTATACTATTATTTAATTATTAACTATGCAAATT